TTGCATGTGACTGAAAATATTTTGGGGTTTGGTTTTAATTACAGGGTATGCATTTTTTTGTGACCGCGCTATACTATTTATTACCGTAAATGTAATTTTCAAATATATATATTAAAAATTAAAATATTCAGCTGATATCTTGAAAGTCATTGATGTATATGTACTTGCATAGATTTAAAATTAAGTTTTGTAGAAATATAATAAATAATGTACAAAAATATAAAAATATTTTGTTTTTATTTCCCCAATAATAATAGGATCATTTTAATAGAGGTATTTCATAGAAGGCTACTTGATATCGGCTCACTATATTAATAACTACATAAGTGGGTATATTATTTTTGAACATTGATTTAATGTCAATTTTAACTTTATTAGATTCCCACTTATTAGTTATTAATATAGTGAGCTAAATATGCGTGCTTACATATATAGGTACCAAAAAAAAAATTAGTTCACCGATTATACGCATGGAGCGCCACAATCGCCGTGGATCCACGACTTCGTGCGAGTTGCCCCTCTTTCTATAGTATACTTATACTCTTTGGCAAATACACAATTTTCATCCGCTCCAAAATTACGATCGGCTTTGATTTGTCAAAATCAATTTAAATTTGACAGTCGTGAAGAAAAAAAGTGTGTTGCCACTCGATTAAATATATCACCATGATAGTAATAATCCTGCAACAGCATGCATTGAACTCATACTAATATATAAATAAAAATAAATTTTATGGTCGTTTGAATGGTATGTTGCAGTTTTACTACTTTATGCATTTAAGGGTTAAAAGAACTAAATGTTGAACTAGAACTTATGACCTTTTGCTGATTGCTGAAAAGTAAATTTACAACAAATATTGATGAAAATAACATAAAAGTAAGTACAAGACATAAGCCAAATTCTACATGGTAAGTGGTAAATATTAAGTATTAATAATAATTCCCAAGGCACATATTTCCAGCAATTATTTGAACAATTTTAACCTTTTAAATTGGCTTGATATTTAGTATAATATGGTTTGCTCGAAACATGAAAAAGATTCAATAATAAAAATAAACTTAAACATTATTTAGGTTGTGTGTAGAATATCTCTCTATTATTGTTTCAAATATTGTTGATTAATCCTTATGGGCTTAAATCCTTTACCGGACATGGAACTCTACTGGTCATCAGATCCCTTTTATTACAATAAGGAAATTGCCCAGGTTTTCCCAATAGTAAGATTTAAAAAAATTACAGAAAACTTCCACTTAAATGATAACGAGATGGAACCACCAAGAAACTCCCCTGAATATGACAAATTATTTAAATTGAGACCCCTCCTCACAGAACTCAACAAAGTTTATCAAAGAGAGGCATACAATTCAGAAGTACAATCGATTGATGAGTGTATGGTCAAATTTAAAGGGCGCAGCTCCTTAAAGCAATACATGCCGAAAAAACCCAACAAAAGAGGATTTAAGATATGGGCAAGATGTGACGCCAAAACTGGGTACTTGTACCAATTCGAAGTGTATTCAGGAAAAGGCGACAGCACCGAAAATGAAGGGTTAGGCTACAATGTTGTCATGAAACTCTGCAGTAACGTACCAAGAAACACTTTAATTGCCTTTGACAACTTTTTTACTAGCTGTATCCTCATGGAGGATCTTTACGATAAAAATATTTATGCAGTGGGAACAGTCAGATGCAACAGAAAGGACTTACCTGATATGATAAAAAAAAACAACCGAAACCATTGCGATTAGATAAAAAACAGTTTTCAGCGGTTACTGCAGAGCCAATCACAGCCATTAAATGGCTTGACACAAAGGAAGTTACTGTCCTGACAACAGCACATCAGCCCTTAGACACAAGGATGATAAAAAGAACCCAAAAGGATGGCTCTAGAGCTGACATTCTCTGCCCGGCTGCAATTGCTTCATACACGCTCAGTATGGGCGGAGTAGATCTTTTTGACCATTTTAGATCGTCATACCCTATAAACCGGAAATCCAGGAAATATTGGATGCGACTATTCTTCTTT